TTGGAATCAAAATGGGATTTCTTTTGAAATTATGTCAGATTTTAATGTTTTAACCAATGAGATGGATGGATTATACAATACACAATTAGCACATTCCAGCATTCCATTGCCGTTTGCTTGCCTGCTTCTTACTCGGACCATTACTTAATGGGTGTCAATAAACACTGTTTGGAGGAAGGGGGGGGGAAGGAGGTGATGCTCTTCTATCAACTTACTGCAGTTCTTTTCATCGTTGTTATTATCGCAGTCTAAGCTGTCATCGCAGTGAAAGCTTTTCTGGATACAAATGAAGTCTGATACAAATGAATGAGTGCCACAGTCAAAGTGCGTTGGGGGACATCGTGAACCAGGCTCTCTCTCGCCTAAGATAGTGCAAAAAAAATCGTTAGCAAAGTCCCCGTTTGCACGAGTTCAGAAAAACGATGGGAAAAAAAGACACCGAAAAATTGGGAAAAAGTGGGAAGAGACGAATGACAAGACTTTCAATAAGTGATGAATTGATTAAAGAAATTGGACATGAATAGTTGGAAAAGGAGAAGGAAAAGGAAAGTGGAAGAAATTCTGCATTTTTATTAATTGTTTGGGTTCCTTCGTGGTTAAAGGGACATGGTCCACTAGCATTCAATTCGGTCGTGTTATAGATATTTCATACATGGAAAATGAGGTGACTTCGAAAATCCATTCGCAATCCGTTTCCATCCATTGGTTTAAAGGTCGAATCTTACAGTATCTCCATTCATATAGTATAAAGGGATAATAAAGAGTAAGTATTTTGTTTATATTACGATGTATTTTTATTTTCAAACATAAGGCTCGAAAGGGATGCTGGTGGACCTTGGCCATTTAATGATGTCAATGGATACAAACATTGGATCATATAATCAACAGCCTACGTAGCGGAGTTTTGGAGCTCCATCTCCCAATCCCCCAAGGCTAGGGGTATGATTACGACCAATAAAAACATCAATAAATTGTCACGTGATAAAAAACACTAACCACAATCCTTTTCGTCGCTATTATCATGACAATTATTATCACCATCGCAGAGAAAAATCTTGTTAATACACTTTGCGTTATCACATGTGTACTCGTGTGCGTCACACGCTGTTGCTGTGGAAACCAAAAGATATTGTCACGTGGTCAATAGCCGACTTTAGATATTTTGGTTCAGTGACCATGCACAAAAGAATTGCAGACGAGGCTCCGGGGAAATAAAGAATAAATCAAGATTATCCATTGATTATTTTATTTTTTTTAATATTGCAAAGAGTTATTTTGAAGTGCAAGCTNACTCTTCTATCAACTTACTGCAGTTCTTTTCATCGTTGTTATTATCGCAGTCTAAGCTGTCATCGCAGTGAAAGCTTTTCTGGATACAAATGAAGTCTGATACAAATGAATGAGTGCCACAGTCAAAGTGCGTTGGGGGACATCGTGAACCAGGCTCTCKCTCGCCTAAGATAGTGCAAAAAAAATCGTTAGCAAAGTCCCCGTTTGCACGAGTTCAGAAAAACGATGAGAAAAAAGACATACAAAATGGGAAAAAGTGGGAAGAGACGAAGGACAAGACTTTCAATAAGTGATGCGTTGATTAAGGAAATATGAATGGATGGAAAAGGAGGAAGAAAAAAGAAAGTGGAAGAAATTCTGCATGTTTTATGTATGTGGGTTCCTTAGTGCTTTGCTTAAAGGGGCATGTTCCACCAGCATTCAATGCGGTCGTGTTTTAGATTTTTCATATATGGCAAATGAGGCAACTTCGATATCCGTTTCCATCCGTCGGTTTTAAGGTCGAATCTTACAATATCTTCATTCATATAGTATAATGGGATAATAAAGAGTAAGTTTTTGCTTATATTACAACGCATTTTTATTTTCAAGCATATACAAAAGCTCGAAAGGAATGCTGGTAAACCTTAACCCTTTAATGATGTCCATGGATACAAACATTGGATCATATAATCAACAGCCTACGTAGCGGCGTTTTAGAGCTCCATTCTCAAATCCCCCAAGGCTAGGGCTGTGATTACGACCAATGAAAACATCAACAAATTATCACGTGATAAAAAACACTAACCACAATCCTTTTCGTCGCTATTGTCATGACAATTATTATCACCATCGCAGAGAAAAATCTTGTTAATACACTTTGCGTTATCACATGTGTACTCGTGTGCGTCACACGCTGTTGCTGTGGAAACCAAAAGATATTGTCACGTGGTCAATTTAACAACATTTTAGTTATAGCAGACATAGTGGACAGCGGACACTCCAATATACAACAGATACCCCGATATAAATTCCTTTTCTCTCTATTGCAGTCTTGAAGGTGTCCATCATACACTGGAAAAATTCGCGCGCTTTTAAGATTGTAAATTTGATGTAAATATGATGTAAGTGTCCAAAATTCTGTAAATTTAATGGAAATCATTTACATCAAATTTACAGAATTTTGGATACTTACATCAGATTTACATCAAATTTACCACCTTTTAAGCGCGCGATTTTTTCCAGTGATAACGAGAGTAGACTGTATTTGTAATACAACCGATTTTAATTCTTCATGTACCTGGCCCCTGGTCAGTTGGTTTGACTTGTCGTGGCAATCTCTGAGGTAGTCGTTCTTGAGAAAGTTCTGAGTCAGAGTTCTACGAAATCAAAATCCTTAAATTTCAGTGCACTAGCTATTAATGAAATAAATGAACGTTTGACAGAACGAACGAACGAGCTGATAGCGTGCAAGGTACAGTGGGAACGGCGAGTAACGGAAAATCTGACAAGGGCGCGCGCGCGGATAAGGGTGACAGCTACCCCTTTTTCAGCGGTCTAAAAATTTAGAAATAGAAATCYGAATAGGAGTTATTCTGAAAAATAACTAAAGCAGCTATAAATGGATAGAAACTTCATTTCGAGAAGAGTATCCCAACCGCGTACGAAATCCCGATGGCTGAAGACTGAGCCTAAAAAAACCTATCTATCTATTTATTTTATTAATTAATTAATTTATTTTTCTCGACTTAGCCACCTCCCTTTCATCCTAGGGGATTGAGTCGTATAGTAATCTTCTTTCCATCGTTTGCTCTTCGCTATAAATAATTACGCCGGAGTTCCCGAGGCTGCCCCCCTTTGTGACGTTMTGGATCRACCTCTAAAYAAACTCAAAGGAACRAAGAAAAGTATGAATAAACCGAAGCCAAAAAGATATGAAAGCGCGAAGAAATTGAAACAAATATTCATMAAACAAAAAATTATATATTAAATCATTCAATATGAGCATTGACAAGTGAAGGGTGGTCTGCTAATCTCACTTGAACTACTTCAGACGAACGTTATCAGATCACCCCTACAGATAGTTTGAATGTTTGACAGAGAAATTAATGTAATGATCTATCGAGGGAAACACTCATATACCTTAGATATACCTGATAATATAAGTTTTCAGTCTGATCATATCCTCGTTTACAAAATGGCTAGTACGTGGTGCATATGGGAGTCCCTCAAGATCATTTGCTACTTAGCAACAACCCCTAGATTTTCACTTCTTTTTCGATTGAAAAAGAAAATTGAACAAGCAGTACAGACAACTCTCGCCTTACGGACACCACGCTATAACGGACACCTCGATATTACGGACACAAAATACTGAATCCCCTGGGAAAAATACAATGAAATAACTGAAAGTACCTCCCGTTAGTACGGACTCTCGCTACAGCGGACACTAAATTACGGTCCCGAGGGTGTCCGTAAAAGCGAGAGTTGACTGTAATCGGAAAAAATCAGCTCATTTCTTTGAACAACCTATACTTCTAATTGCAATTGCGACTTTTCTTCATTAAACTTCATTTTGCGCAAATATTTTGGGACAAACGTTTCAGTAACGGTTTGTTGTTCGTGAGCTTTGAAGTTACGGTAACAAACCATATTTACGGCCGGCCTTAAGATCAAATTCCGTCTACGTAAATGACAAAATACCACGCCGTTTCGTGAAAAACACGCAGCACGAGAGACGTTTTTACGGAAATACTTTTAGGAGTTAAAATTTTTCAGAATCTTCTATGTCGCATGACTGTTTACATTTTTACGTACAGTGACATTACGTACAGCAGTTAACCTTCCGGATCTTAACTACGGAAATAACCGCAAGTTTACGTTGAAAACACGTTAKTAKCACGAGAGACTTTTCTACGGAAATACTTTGGTGGGTTGAAGTAGTTTATAACTTTTTTATTGCACTTTCAGTTACATGTTGCGCATATTGTGTTACGTACAGTTGACGTTAATCTTCCGGTTTTCAAAGTACGGAAATTTCCTCAAGTTTACGATAGCGGTTTGATAACATCCAATTTTTCTTCGTATTCAGACCCGAAAGCGTCCGCCATCTTGGATTTAAGCTGACTGACAGAAGAAGAAAGATGCTAAATTTAAGCTGATGTCTAGTTCCGGGGCCTGCGTTGTAGAAACGTAGATAACATGGGTGATTTCACAGGAAAAATCGCGCGCCATAAAGGTTGTAACTTTGATGTAAATATGATGAAAGTGTCCAAAATGATGTAAATTTGATGGAAATCATTTACATCAAATTTACATCATTTTGGACACTTACATCACATACACATCAAATTTACAACCTTTGAAGCGCGCGATTTTTTCCAGTAGGCAACTTTGAAATAGAAATGAATGAAAAAAAAAAAAAAAAAATTGAGGAAACCAAATCAGTCCAAGATGACCCAGCCTCCCCTCCCTAGCTAATCACATAAGGCGGACTTAAATGATAGAGTACCAAATTCTATGACCTTTTTAAAAACCGTCTACCCTTCTGATCCCTTGACTGCTTCAATGCAAACGCAACAGTAGAGAATATGTTTAAATGTACAATAACAGCCATGTGTGGTATTTTGGTATTTTATAACATGCTCTTAAGGGGGTAAAAAATGCCATCCCAGAAACGATGTCAATTTGGAGAATGCRTTTAGATAAGACWTGTGAAATGGAGGTCTGATGCTTTGATAAGAATGCTACCATTTTAATTAATTTTTATCACACGGTATTGATGAATTTGTCCGTAGTTTGATACAAGGAAACTAAATTCAAAGTATAGTATTTCTAACTAGTAATTTTTTCAAACGACGAAAAACACACAAGGCGAAGTCGAAGCTCATCAAAGTGTTGCGATTAAAGTGAAAAGTTGTTGCTTAGAATGGCAAACTTTCTTTGCACTTCGTCCGTTTTCACCTTGTGCTCCGCATGCGTGGCAGACATCTAATAAAATTAACAAACTTTTTCATGAACAATGCTTTTAGGCGGTATTCACGAAAACTTGGAATTTTATCTGCACTCATAAGAGCCAGCTGTTTGGACCTCTTGATTTCTTCCATACGTACTTATACAGCAGTTTTAAGTAACATTGTAATACTGAAAAGCAGTTGTGAAATTGGCCTGTTTAAATGCCGAATTTCATATGTACTGAAGTTTAAACAAATTTAGTAAACACGCGATTGGAGTAATCTGCATTGCATTCGGCATAGGTGAGATGCGACGTTTGTCTGCTCTTAGTCATATAAAAACGACGTTTGATTTATAAACTTGATAGCTTTAGATGTCTGCATCGATGGAGTTTGAAGTAAAAGAGGCATTGATGGAAGAAAGAGTTGACTTAGGTTCACTTTGTCAGACATGAGAGTATCTCAGTTACAATACGATAATTGTTGTACGACTGTAGTCTGTACTATATACTATGCAGATAAAATCTCACAAGAGGGCATCAGTTACTCTTTCGCATCATTTTGACCATCAGAAAAAAATTGTACGAGCACGCTAATTGAAAACACACCAGTATAGACACGARTCTTCGTTTCTTTGACCAATGATGGAATAATAGTTTTATTACAAATAATTTTAGTCGTTACATGTAGTTGAGTGAAACTTTCTGCGCTTTCATGTCGTTCTAAGTGATTTAATCCTACGAATTACTCTTTAGATCTGAGCAATATTATTTCTAAACAGTATTTGTCATCAAAACCTAGTATTTCATGSTCGTTCATTGTTGCGTGCGAACCACAGGRGATGGTGACCTCCCTTCTGATAAATCGCACCACATTTTGGCACCAGTAAAAAATATATTAAATTCCAGTCGGAATACGAAAATATATAACAATTTGCTGTAATCTTTCAATATTGTTCTTTATACAGGAATATCAACMATGATTTGCCGGACTACTTTGAGAATAATACGAAAAACTAAACGGAAAAATAAMAAAGGAACAAAGTGAAAGACAAAAAGTGTTGATTGTTTCACGACCTCACAATTTCCTTGATATTTCCTGATTATAAATTTGTATTTAAATGGACGATTTCTCTTATAGTCAGTTAACAACATTGATTGATCATTTCTTCAAAGCGAGGAATTTCAAAATGAGCATTCAGTAATTCTTTGCAAAATCAAATTTCGATAGTTGATTCCACCTTCATCTGATTCTGCTCGGGAATCCTCTTGCAAGAGTTCCGGACATCCGTTACATGAYCCCATGTAAGAATTGGCAAGCAGAAAAACTATTCAATGTGACCGTAATATCTGAAGTTTGCCAAAAAAGTTGATGTCATATTTATAGAAGTATTGCATACTGACAGTAAATAAAAAAAAATTTACAAAATTTGAAATGTAAGACTTCAGGGGAGCTCCCGCGACCTTTAAAAACCGACAAAAAGCAAAGAACAAAAGCCAGCAGAACGCAAATTTGCACTAACTAGATTCAATGGAACAACAAGTTTTTCACAAAGTTGAAAAAATATATTAAATACTTTTCTGTGGCATTTCCATTGAGGCGCAGAGAGAGCTGAGATGGGGTCGCGTTATAGGTTGTAAGTGTACCTCAGCATAAATCAAAACAATGATACGAATCTAAAACATTAATTTCGATAGAATATTGAAACTTACGGTTCTATGAACAGGATCTCCAGTTACCTCCAATGCAAGAAGCCAAATAGTTAGAATCACTGMAAACATTCTTCCTGACATGATGTGAAGAATCYGGTTGAAGCYTCGCGCCCTTGCAATTGATCAGTATAACTGTATAACCAACCGATATCGGATTAATTCATTGAATACAGATACTGGAAGACAATTAGGTCTAAATAACAATCCGACTTTATAACAAGACCTAAGGAAGAATGCAAGAGCAAATATGTACAAGAAAAGCTTTCACAGTCAGTTGAGAAAMGCGAGTGACAATGTTTCATGCATGTCATACCGATTTGAGTCACATGTGATAATAACATTGACATTTGATCCCTTTACTGTGATTGGTCGAATAAAATAAAGAACCTGAGTTGACTAGGGAGGGGTAGGTAGATTATGTTGAGGCTGTAGCACGCGATCTTTTTTGCATAGATTGTGTGGCATGTTTTGCTGACTCGTTTAATTTGTTCCGCCCGCTCTATTAATTTAATTTTAGAAAGAAGAAGCAACTTTATGAATGGACAGTTATGTGAAAATGTAAATTTAACACACCGTAAAAAATTACGTGAAATAACTTACTGCCTTATTCACTTATTGGGAGTATCCTCATGTGTTGAAACGGCTTTGTTTTCAGAAAATTTTAACATCCTTTGTTCTCATTTTTAGCACCTCTATTGTCCTTTTCTCTAACAGATCTCTTTTATTTTTCGTTACCATGGTCTACTTTCTTTGCTACTCGACTATAGAAACTCACACTTTACCAAGTTCCATTAACGTCCGAAACGTCATTAGGTTATTTCACCTACTTTTTACGGTGTTAAATCTGATCTTTTTACACAACTGTTTCTTTAGAAACACCGACGCAGCTCACACTGGTTGAATGTTTTTGCCCGAAACCGGAAACCACATCTAGTTTAGAACATCGCCGTGGCTATTAAACAAATTAAACGAGTTAAAGGCCAAGGGTAAACTCAACCTTAATCCACAGGCGTTATTAAGAGTCACGCGGGGTTTTATCCTGTCTTTTCCTGGTAGCCAGGATCAGCCAGAAGAGAGAGATTGGGATGATAATTGGATCTCTAATAAGAACTATTGAAGTAAAAGATATGTCAGTTTTTGACATCGGRCCAGACGTTAATACTTAAAAGTAAAATTAATCTTGTAAACTAACAACTCCACATTGGCCGCGTTTGAACAAGGCCATGTGTCATTGAAAAGTCAAGAATTTGACAAATAGAAGTATGGTTTCTCAAGAGTATTTCTTTCAGTACCTTTCTAAGMCGTTTAGACAATCTCTTAGCGTCTTTTAAAGTATATAAACGTTGTAAAATTTAAATAGAAACTTAACTTACATGCTTTGAAGAGAAGTCCCGTGTCGGCCATTTTAGAAACTTAGCGACCAGGTAATCCGTTTACCACAGGTAACCCAAAATGGCAACTAAGCCACTCATAAGTCATAATCTATAAAAAAAACAATAATTTAACATTTGTTTTTATTTCCTTATTTATTCATCAATATTCATATTATTTTCTATTGTTTATATCCATTTATTCATGAATTTACTTTTTTTCACTTTTGTATCTCTAATTTATTCGTATGTCATTTGCTTTATTTGTACAATCTAGGATTTGATTTGWTATTTCTTTTAAGATTTGTAAGATCATGATTTAAGTAAACAACTGCGAATTACGTAATTGGGTTTAGCGACTTACGTAATTGCATTACGTCTTCGACAACACAAAGCATTGTTTTGCTTCTATATTGATCATATTGTTTCTACTTGTAATCGTTCTATTACTCAGCAAATTTAACAAAACTCTAAAAAAACTTTCGACAGGCTTCAAAAGTTCAARAACTTTCGCACAAAAAAAAGCACTTCACACTATTTGACTTATAAAAAAACCTAATTTTTACTTATTGATTTGGTAGTTCTTTAAAACTTCATGGTTTTAAGGATTTKTTTTGATTATTTTATGAATTTTATAAATCTAATTGTCGTCATATGAATGAGGTCATCGCTAATTTTTCCCGCGAAAATTTCATTTCCTTGCAGTAGAGTCACGTGGCACCAGTCGTCTTGAACATGACGTCACGAACTCGCACTTCGGCGAAATTCTCTGCGGCTTCACGCCGAAGAGTCAGCCATGTTGGATACATAATTTTCATCCTTGATAATCTGGAATTTCAAAGGACCATCGCCTTATCATAAACAAAGAGAGGAATCGACAAACTTAGGTCTTTTAATCAAGGATCATATTTTTGTTATAGAAGTGTGACTTATAGCGTAAAAAGAAGATAACGGAAGACCTTCGCAAGGAGCTTCTCGATACTTCAGCGTCTTAGAACGCTCTTTCCAACATGCCGAACGGGAAAGGTTCTAATGCTTCCCCGCCTGCAGGGCATAATCGAGGCCAGCAATCGTATCCTTAATCGTTCAGGGAATTTCGGTCCGATTTGTGTGTTTAATTGGTGTTTATATGATGGTTGATGTTAAGTTTACGTGGCTTTAGACGACTACTCGGATTTTGCCGGTATCTGTTATGTAGCCTTAATCATTTCTCTCACAGATCACAGAGAGGCCCGACTCCACCTCAACCAAGTAAGTTTTCTATTGAGCAATCAAATCTGTGAAAATAAATTGATTGAAGTCGTTTGGGCTGTCTGAATTTCACCATCCCCCCTCGATCGTCTGTCGCGAAGGTGTTTCACATTCGCCCCTCATGCCAACATACAAGTCGGCYTCGATTGATCTGTTTTTATTTCTAGGACCAGATGATTATTCCCAGAGAAATAATCAAGGTTACCCACCTCAGGTTAGTCATATTTTCCTTGAAAACATACAATAGACAACCTTGAACTCGTGCGATTGTTTGGAACCGGCTCTGTACTACCACTGCCCCAGTGTTCACAAAACATACAATTGTACAATTTGCATTTCATCGTCAAAATTCTTCAACTCCCTTCGGAGTCCAAGCTATCAATTAGTGCGTTACTAGGGCGAGTATTCGTCTCTAACTGTGTAAATCAACTWCTGTTTCTTATTCATCAAAGGAAAGGCTATAATTATTGGGGAAATACGATTTCTGTTCTGACTTCCGTTTGAAATGATCTGCACTCGAATACATTACTAATTGCGTTTTGCTTTTATGAATGACCGGCCTATTGATCTTTTGTATATTGTGAGCCCTGATCCTAAACTCTAGATCTAGTGTTTTATTTTGTGGTAAAATACTCTGTATTTTGTCACCCGGTATTATTTCGTGGTTAATACCACATTTCATTTATAAAATTTGAGTTCACAGATTGACATTAACTAAGAAATTCCTCCCTAACTCCTGATTTTTCAAAGGATCTAATTGTTAAATGTTATTAAAATCTCCTTTAGTATCACCTGGTAAAGCTTTGACGATTATATTTTGAAAACGTGACAAGAAATACATTTCGTGACCGTAAGGCGTTTTTCTTCCCTTATGTGAAATGTATATTTTCCAATGTTCAAATGGAAAAAATATAAACATTTATATAAATATATCCACCAATCTACTTCCTAAGGTGTTATTTTAAAGTCTGAAATCAGAATTCCCCTGTATTGATCTATTTTTTCTTGAATGAACTTTTCTTGAAATGCATTAAAAGTTCACGTTTGTTGACAAGTAACCTTTTCATGGCTTAAAATCTATGCAAATTGACAATCAGTGGTCATCTGTTGCGACATCTAACAGAATTACTGAATACAAATAAAGTAATAATGAAAGTAGCATTGATTTAATAGTATTGACCAATTTAYCCAACATTTTTCAGTTTCTGTTATAATTTTCATTAGAAAATAACAATATATATGATTTACATTTCTTAGAAAGTTAAAATCAGCGATAAAGAAGTAGTGTTACAGAAGGCTAAGAAAGCTGGAAGACCCTATTTTTTATGTATCCACTTCTTTGCCAAACTTTCTATCTCATGTACATGTAAGGTCAAATCCTTCATCATGTTTAATCTAATATTGATAGCAGATGTGCCCGGGCAATTCAAAGTCAGATTCTATTGACATTGGTAGATTTTGTCAAGTTGTTCAAACTAAATATAATCCGTAAAACTGATTTAGGCTGGAAATTTCTGGTTAAATAGATATTTGATATGTCTGAAATACTCATCCAGTTCTATTTTTTTGTTACAATAGTGGAATATGTAGTGGAGTGATAATATCAGGGATCCTTAGATTGGATATTAGTAYTCACTCTATCCCCAAATACAGCAATTCTTCCTTCTAAAAACAGTCTTTCTTTATCAAATAATCAAAAACTATAACAGAAATATATGTGAGTTATACTACACTAAATATCATTTCAAAACAATTTTTTTTTTGCTAAATTTGTAAATTATTTCATATCGGCAAAAGATATATAATCAACTGACGTAAGTGACTCCATTATCAATGAAATTAAAATTTGACAGTAAAGTCCAAAGTAAGTCCAAAGCAAAACATTTGAATAACAATTRGTAAAGTAAAGAAATAAATATATTCACATTGGAATAGGTTTCACTTTTGATTCTTAAAATAGACATTAGGTAATGACATTACATGTACCTCTTCTTCTGTTAACCAATTTTATGTAGTTTTTTTTTATTTTTTGTTCTTCATTTAACCCCACCTTCATTTTACTATAATTCTTGTGATGGTCTCAGATTCAGGTGCCAACAAAAGCTATGCTTAGTGCAAGCTAAAATTTAAAAATCACTTTCGATAGACCCCTTGCATGTTACGTCAAAGCAGCTTCATCTGGAGGACAAAACAAAAGATTTTTATCCTCTTGGGAACTAGAATCCATTGTTTTGTCCTCCAGTTGGAGCTGCATTCCCRTGAACTGCAAGGGGTCTACGGAACAACATATAAGTGTCCATCCAGGTGTAAAAGTTATTAATCTTGAACAGCAAAAGCCCTGAAAAAAGACATAGATAAATATAAGATATAAATAAAGATACATAATTGGTTGAAAATTGGATAGAAGTCATTTAGTGTGGTAGTTAAATGTCTTATGTATTCAAACTACGACAGTTTTTACATTGAGAAGGTTAGGCCCGTTTCAGACGTTGATCTTTTGTCAAGTCTAATCTAATTGGTGGAGTTGAGTTTATGAGCATTTTGTACTCTGAATTTATTGACATTAATAGATTTTGTTCAGTTGGACAAACCTACTATAATCCGAAAATATCAATCGATGTAGCCCGAGAACTTCATGCAAGCAATTAGATTAGATGTGGCAAAAGATTGATGGGCCTTACATTCCAAATCTTTGCCATTTTATTTTCCACTTTTAGCATGAACTTGTATCTTTTTTTTGTATGACCATATTTTGCATTCATTGGACTAAAGTATCCATAAACAATTAAGAATAAGAAATAATAATAAAAAAACACAAATAAATAAAAAAAAGGATGTCACATTAACTCACTTGAATATTTACAGTAATATGRTACAAAATCCTGCACATAGAAGAATAGATATTTTAAATCAAAATATAATTGTATTTCTTGCTACGGAAGTTATGAAATTATCCTGTGATAGTTGCCTGGGGAAACTGTATGTTCYGAAAAACAAATTGTTGCTCAAGGACTTAGKTCAAGGTGACTATGAAGTTTYGAGRAACRTYCAGTTTCCATTGGCAACAATCACATAAARTCGTGCATAAAATCGTTTTTCTGTTGTTGTTTTTCTTATTATATCAACTGCAGACTTGAGTTATTACAGCTTCAAGTTGGTGTTTTGTTTAATTTCATTCTACTAATATAGATTATTATATATTCTAGAAATRAATAAATCATATTCCACCTTTTGCAGCAAATGAATGTCCAGGGAATGCCAGGAATATACCACCAAGGAATGGTCCCCAATCAGGGCCAGCCACAGCGTATGTATTATAACCCAAGRGCAATGGCCAGGCCAATAAGAGTACCACACCACTCGCAACAGTCTAGTCAACCTATGTACCCATCACCTACCAGTGGACAACAAATCATTTCAATACAGGGAGGAGGTCAAGGATATCCCATATTGCAGCAGCCTTTTGTTCCTTCACAAGTATGTATTAAGGATAATTAAAGGGACACTGTCAATGGATGACATGCGCGAGTAAACTTGAAAACACTAGTTTTCAAGTTTATGACTCCAAGTTGGTGCGACATAAATCAGATCGCAAACGTAAACAGATCTAGAATATTCCAAAGTGTGTCAAAAGCACCACAAAATGATTTACCTCGAAGGTTATACTTTCAAAGTCCGTTAGAGGTGAGACTGTTACTGCGCATGTCATCCATTGACAGTGTCCCTTTAACTCAAAGAATCAAAACCAACCGCTGTACCTTGCGAGCCAAAAATGGCGGATTTGTAGGATTTCTTAAAGGGAGCGCAAATGATCTTCCATCCTTTCAGTTTGGACAAAAATACCTTTAACTAAGTACCTCACAGGTACTATCAATCTATAATCTATTGCATGCTTGACGCATTTAAATCTGTGTAAACAAAAACACGAGCATGAGCTGCTTTGTGGTTGGTTGGGGTTCTTTAAAAGAATTGTTTCAGCTGTACTGTAGTACAGTTTCATTGTCTGGATTACTGTGTATCAACTTTACAGTATAGCTCAAAGTGTAAAGCAATGACCTCTGATATTTCTTTTGAATATTCATTGTCTCTTGATCAATGCAAAACATGATGCAAGATTAACTGTTGACTATTTGAAAACGTGCTCAGCACTTCAAAGTTACAAATATATCAAATACCAATTAAAGCTCTCAAATAGTTCTACAGTTTTCATGGTTCACAGTAAATACTATAAATGCTTTTATATGCTTATTTTGTACCAAATAAAAACATTTCTAAGGCTAATATTTTTAATAATCACAGGTTGACTACCAAGTCCCCGTTGGCAGTCCACAAATGCAGTACAGACCGCCGCCTTCAACAATGGGATATGGTAATCCACAAATGGGTTTTGGACCCACGTACACACCGTCCATGGCTCCGCCTATGCCCTTTGTGCCCGGCGGACAGGGGCAACCCTTCATGTTTGTAAGAAACCCACMGATTGGACAAAATATAGGAGGTGAGTGGCAGATCATGACAACAGTTTATAACCATCCAGACCTAACTTTATTACAGGTTTTGTGCTATTCCTTGAAATCCTTGAAAAGTCCTGGAAATGAAAACTCGTTTTCAAGGGCGCCTGAAAAGTCCTTGAAAATGGGAAAATTGCTAAAACTCCAAGGCTAAATCCATAAGTTTTCTAAGAGTTAACCCAAGATTAGCGCTAAGCAGGCTTTAAACAACCTGGCCCTGGAAACCTCCTTGAATCTGATGAAACTAAAATGTTGTTTTTTAGCTTTTGGATTTAAATGTGGCTATTTTTGAAAATTGACACTGGAAACATTTGCAAACATTAAAAAATATCTTCAAAAATCGTACTTGAAAAATCGTATTTTTTGTACTTGAAAAGTCCTGGAATTTTGTATTGAAAATGTAGCACGAATCCTGTTATTATATACGTATTAAAACTACCAAAAGGCTTGGCGCACTTTAACTTTTCTCTTGGTAATGACTGTCTTTCTCTATATTCTTGCAGCTCAACCATACCAACCAGTTCGTCAAGAGTCTCAGGTACCACGTAAAAAGAATATTATCAAAATCAGAGACCCTAATCAAGATAATAAAGATGTAACAGAAGAAATCTTATCTTCTGCTGCTCATTCATCCTCCAGTTCAACGTCAGATACAAATGTTTCAGGCCCTTCTAGTAGTTCAAACACWCCCCCTATTAGCAGTAACTCTACMAATGAACAAGAYAATACGGCTGCTACRTTTATGAAGCAAGTAGCAGCCACATTACATGAWGATAAGCCTAAATCCCCWACAACCCAAATTACTAAACCAATTCAAGTTGCAAAAAGTACATCTCCAAAGCAAGGCAATGCAGGGATTAAGATCATTTCCATTGAGAAAAAAGGTTCAAAAATTAATGATAAAGAAAAAGTTGAGATTGAGAGTGTTAAACCACAGCCTAAACAAACAGAAGAAGCTCCTGTTGYAGTTAAAACAGTTGAAAAAGAGGAAACCGAAGCAGATGGAGCTTCAGTTAGCATATTAAACAAAGAAAAAMCWGAAAAGGAAGAAGAAAAGAAGGAGACATTAACAGAGCCTAMGGCTGCTGAGCCTTCTATAAACAATGACACTTCTACTAAAAGTGATTCAAACATTACAACAGAACAATCTAAAGCTGAAAGTAAACTCCCTGTTGAAGCTAAACAAACTGAAATTGTTCCMAATGGTTCAATAAGTCCAAGCGAGGAAACCATCAAACCTGAAGAAAGCAAAGAAGTCGAAGTGACRCCACCAGAGGAGGATTTACCAAAGGCTGATGTAAATGCTGTCAGCTCTATCAGTAAACCTGAAGTAGAAACAGAACCAGAAATAGTTGAAGATAAGACTGAGRTTCTGGAGTCAACAGAAGAGAAAGTTTCTTTGGAAAGTGCTGTAAATGGGATTGAGACTGAAMCTAAGACTAAGCAAGCAGCTCCAGCAAGCACGGCAACAGAACCTGGTAAGGAGTTTGAGAAAATATATAAATAAGTAAAAAATAATATTTTAT